CAAATACACGACCGACCATTAAGGTGACTCCGCACTCAGTGATATTGATATTAAAAATGTTTTTGATTTTAGAGACCGAGACAGTTTGCGGTACATGTGATGATGTTGCTGCTGCTAAATGTTTCAGTGATGGATTAGCCATGTTTGAATCTCCGGATGTCTCAGATGTGAACACCATCTGCAGGTAGGCTGTCATCTGTAATCTAAGAAGCTTCACATTCTATGTTTAACAAGCTGGGGTGTATGTAGAAAATACCGGAGGGAGGGGGGATAAGAGTTGTCTCTCTGTGGTGAGGCCTGAAGAGCCGAAGCCCCCCAACTTCCCCCACCTCTAAATGGCGTATTATATAAGATGTAATATTAAAATTATTCCAGCCAAACTGGCTGTCCATTTTGTTTTAACTACAACCTTCTCTAAATATAAAAACTGATAATACACTTAACATTTTGTAACATATTTCAGCCAAACTTTAGAAACAACGATGAAGTGTGTCTACCAAGCTATAGCCAGATGTGAGGATAAAACAGCATTTGAGGCTTCATTAAATAAGTTTATAGCCGACTACGACAATATCTGTACCATTCCAGCCGATATCTCATCATATACCATACCATGTTCAATCCCTTCAGGTTCAGGTATGTTTTAGGATACACCTTTGGTTGGAGGAGTTCATTGTCCCCTGGTGCGCTAAGAGTACTCTCAACACCGGGCAATAAACACTAGAAGAATACAATGGTATATATTCTGCTCCGTGCTGCCCCCTTAGTTTTTAAAATTGTTAAAGTTGTCATAGAAACAAACTGATAGTTGAATTGATTTCGTATAATGTCTTGTTTCGATTGGATGTCTTCTGGTTTGGTTTTGTTACTTGTACATTGATAACTCACAAATATAGTCATTAATTTATGGCTTAGAATTACTCAAACATAGATGCATAGTTCCATAGCAGAGATCATTTTTCTGCCTTAAACCCAATATAACAAAGACCTATACTGTTGTTGTTTTTTGTCTTCGTTAGTTTCTGACAAATGTAAAGCCGGTAGAAAGAGAGTTGATGCGTGTTTCACTACCCAGATTAGCGCTATCCTAGCCAAACAATTTATCGGATATAGAGAAATGCGATCCTACTGCAGGTAACTTGGCGTTTTATTTTCAAGAATTTCTCTTTCGAACAGATTCGTTGATTTATTCGGCTAAAGTTTACCTTAATTTTACCAGCCGAATATCCAGATATCACCACTCACCAATCTGACAACAGCAAACCGTTACTGCTCTAAAAGCCTAAAACCTGGATGCTACTTGGACACGATTATAACTTCAGCTTTCAAAGCTAAGTAATGGCGAACAACACCGTAAAGTTATAGTGCGCCAAACCAGTGTCAATTTGTCATTCTGCTCCTATTTGTACCCCCAGTCTCGGGAGGCTGGCGCCGCCACTGCGCCAAACGGGTATTTGCAAACTATAAATTACCAAAAATGAAATAATTACACTCGTGAAGAAGCAGAAAAAAAGAACCCCATTAATGTTTATTTTATTTTGTAGCTATGGTAGAAAGTTTGAGGAATGTTACGACAATGAATTGACTGATTGTAATGAGGATGAAGTCTCAGATATAGCTATGTCTCGAGAAATCATTCAGAACTATGTGAAGATAGAGTGTGGAGATGACCTAACTGTCAAACCACAATGTGAACCGGAAATGGCCAAGCAATGTGTTGATACTTTGATAACAGATCTGGGAGATGGATCTGGGTCGGGACACAAATGCAGGTGACTGAAACATCTTTCCACATTTTCTTAGGGATCCTATCCACGAAAACGTAATATATTAAGATATATATGCAGTAAATGGACTTTCGTTTACTATTAAGAATTTCTGTCATTTCATACAACGAGTTTACTAAAACTCGAAAAGTTCTGTTAAAACTATCATACACCTTAGTTATGCCATTCAGCCCCAACCTCATTCAGCTAAGATGCAGAATAAATGCAACAGCAATTGTATGTGCCTTTAGAATCTTACCCAAAGAACCATATTCACTACGGTTCTTATATTACAGGTCATTAGAACGCACCATCAAATGCTACGATACTTACACCTTCAATTGTAAGTCAGATGATATAACTGCTATCAAATATCGTTTGGAGCGAGTCATCCATTCACACAGATATACATGTAAACAACTGCTTCAACCCTGGTCGTGTTCTACTTCCGGTGATGAAAGTGATTCTGGTACTGATGGAATGGAAACTGGTGGTGATGCTAAAGGAGATGGTACTTCCGGTAATACGGTTGATCTCACTGTATGTGACAAGACATCAGCTTTGGCGTGTTTCAGTTCTTTTACTCTTACTAGTCTGCCATCTTGCAGGTTAGCTGTTTTGATTCTTTGGAATCCCACGTCATTGTTTTGTGTCAGTAACCCGGTTTGACTATGTTCTTTTTAGGGTAGCTGGGCCCTTGCTAGCTGTTCCAACATTTTCTCCATAAAAAGAAACAGTCTGTCATTCAATTGCTGGTTTCATGCCCGTTCAGGGGACAAAGAGGGCTACCGACCAATTCCATTACTGCAACAAAACATCATACGTAATTGCCCATCTGGATATATTACTTGCCCCTCCGAAAAATCAAGTCTTGCTTACGGCCTGGCCATTTGGTGGATAGAATTCGATTGTAATGCTGGATTACAGCAGATCTTAAACGAATATTGCGTTTACAGTTAATCTGTAGCCACAACGTATGATAAGGAAAAACAAATTCGCTACAAGGTCATTGATATTTAGCTATCTTTCATATCTATGGGTTCCAATTTATTTTGATCCTTTCCAGTGATTTCAAATCTATGATGAACTGTGCAGTAAGAAGTGTTATTGGTTGTGAGGACAATGTTGTAATTGAAACAGTCGACAGCCTAAACAACAACTTCCTGAACGCGGCCAGTCTAACTTCTTCTTGCATTGCGAAAACTTCAGTCGAGAAGCTTAATGCTCAATTTAAGCTTATTAAGGACAAAGCTACTACCAGTAACGAGAAAGTTTGTAGTGCTGAAGAAGCTCTGAAATGTTTCGACTTTTTGAAGCCAGATACTAACATACCCTGTCCGTAAGTTAAAGATAGTTCATAGAAAGATCTGGATTGGCTATTGTTGAAAACAGTCAATCACGTAAACAAATAATTATTATAGATATTGATCATGGACCATGTGTCATTGCTTTTGCTTTGATCATCGAAATTCACCGATTACTGTAAATAAAATCGTGAGCAATTCTAAAACACTCAATGCCACTTTGATTCTTTTGCTTAGTGACTGCCCCCTCCGATGAGTGGAATTCTAAGAGTGTTGTGTATAATATTTCAGTACGTTTAAAGAAATGAAGAGGTGTTCAATGCTGAATATTGAGAAATGTACATCAGATGTCCGAGACACCGCCATCACCAGTATCAACTCGGCTATCTCAGCATTCCTGACTGCCTCAACCACCTTCGTACCATCCTGCATTCAGACTGTTACCAAAGATAACCTATTATCTATTGGCATGGTCCCGAAACCATCATTTTCTCTCACCTTAGACAAATGTGTCGACTTCAGCATCAAGCCATCGAACATTATACAGTGTGTACTTCTGAAATACCAGAATAAGGAGTGAGTATTCAATGGCTTTGTCCACTACTATAATGGCCAACTGGGCGACACTGTCTGAATTGATCTTACAAGAGTTGAGTTCTAACCCAGCCTAGCAGATGGCAATCCGTGATGATACATACCGAGCTCTGCCACTTGATTTCGTGTTTCTTTATGTTGCGGTTAATTTCCTTTTGGGAATCAGGTTTAGAGACGGCGCAACCTCTTTTATAATAATGCTACTGGAGGTAAAAAGTGATATGTGCAAACACTATTGTCAATTTCATACTGCCCATTAGAATCTGAAATTCTGTTTCTTAATCCTTTCAGAACCATCGACTGTGATCTAACTGGTCTTTCAACATTTGAACAAGAATTCGTCAACATTTTCAAGAAGGAGACTGCAGTTGCTACAGTAACGTCTACTACCTTGACTTCAATATCCACATCTTTTGAGGCGATCATTGTGAAGCCAACTGGATATTTGTGGCACGTGTGTTCACTGGCCAAAACTCTGACCGCTACTTTGAAAGGGTACGCTGATGACGCTTCTGATGACGTTGGTTTGACCAGAAGTATGACGTCATTGGATGTCTTTTTGATAAATACTTGTGGAAATACGGGTGAGTATTGAAAAATATTGCGATGAAAATACCACGATACCACGATACCATGATACCTCACTGCAACAAGAAATTCGTCCCAGTAGATATCCATTCCTTGGTGTTTATTCCCATGATTTGTTCTCAGTGTGTGATGAGAATATTATGAAAATAAGATACCCAACCCTCTTTATATTTCAGATCTTATCAGTATTCCTCCAGTAATCATCCCAGAAACAGGTAAGTTTTATGGTGTATATTTTTTTCATCACCGGTAACTCAGGACAATATGCTTTAAGCGAGTGTTCCTAAAATTGGTGGTTAACTGCATTTCAGGATAGTACAATATGGACCATAGAGTAACAACGAAATTCTGGTTCTCTGCTAATACAGTAGCTCAACTACCATAAGGACTGGTTGCACCGAGTCGACGGAGCAATACAGTAGAGCAAATTACAGGGGGAGAGAGCCCCCAGCCCACTTAAGTCCACAGATCCACGTATAGAATTGATCCACTGTCCTAATATTCCTCTGATAATAACCCAAACTCACCCACTCTAATCGTCTAACAACTTTTTCATTTATTTTAGAAAAAGATGAATGTAACAAAGATAAGATCAACAGAATTATCACCCCAGCTTTATTGAAATATCTGTTCAGTTCTTACCTTACCTCAGGTGATATTTGTAGGTAAGTGCAACAGTGTTAGAATTATTTACGCTGACCGTAGCAATCATACACGAAAATTGATGAACCTAGCATTGTGCACATTATTGTTGGTGTGGATGTCCCATTCGATTTAATTCTACACAAGAAAGCGCAGATTTTTAGACCAATGAAAAGATAATTTGCTTTATTTCATTGTGTAAAGATGTATTATTTAATACTTCCTCATTCGAGTTCTATGTTATACGAGTTCATTAGCTGCTACCAATTTATTGCCAAACTGTTTGTGTTTTTTTACGGGGTTCGTTTTGCGAATCGGATAGTTAATATTTAGTTATTTTTATTATATCCGCCATAATACCATTATAGTGACGCCTCGATGGTAAAGATCATGGTAAAAGATGAGCTTACAGAATGTTCCGATGAATACAAAGAGCATATATCAGTGGTATTACAATTATTAACAACTCTCGCCAAACCAGCATGTTTTACATCTCCTAAATGTAATGTACAGAAGGCGTATGGCTGTCTGAGTCAACTGAATGCAGAAATTGCTCTGTTTGGAATCGAGAACACTCCTCGTGATATCTGCAGGTAATTTTCAATTGATATCAAACGGACAGCCAAACTATCGGAACAGTTATGTAGAAGACGGCTGTGAAAAGTAATTCTCGAGAATTTGTTCTAAATAGTACCAACGGTAATGTAAACAATGGTCACGCGCTGATAAGTAGGAGCCATCTTATGCTGGTAATTATTGAAGACTCTTCCGCCGATTAAGGAGGCGAACTTGCAACCACTACAAGTTCAAGAAACCACTATGCTGCCAAAAAGTGGATCTCAATGACTTCTGGGGTCGCCCTTTCTTCACCTCCCAACCATTAGTCGAGGGAGAAGGAATAAACTTACGGAATCAACCCCATTGCAAATTACTATGTTTGTTTATCTTTCAGAGCTTTATCGACGAATGATGTATGTATGGAGCATTATTTAGGTGACTGCCATCCAGACAGACTCCACCTAATTCGATATGTGTCCAATAAAGACAGACTGGTAGCATTTACTATCTGTTCTGGAGAGCAGGTCCAGGTCCAGCCTGTCTGCCAGTCTCAGTATATTGGTAGAACGGAGGGTGAACTGAAATGTTCCAAGCTTGATAGCGGATGTAGTAATTCTTTGTTTAAAGATTTTTACTTGCCTGATGATGGTGCTCTTTGCAGGTATGTTTCACACATCTTGCATCAAAATGGGGTGATTGTAAGAGCAATTTATGGACATTACGCCCATGTATTGTATACAGAGATCTAGTCGAGGATTGAAAGGGAGAGATTGTTTGACACTGCTCTACACAAATTTGAACAAGCCCAACTGTGATGCCCTAAAGAAGTAAGATGGCAACTAGTGGTTTGTTTCGTTTGGGTTCCGATATGAGCCCTGCACTTGTATCCACGATTTTACCACGTGTCCTTCAGCCTAATTACACCCTGCATATGGAAGGCTTGAAAGTCCCTGTTTCTGTTTCATAGGGTTTGTGAATCTAAGAAAAGTTGATGCTATTTCATCACTAATGGGCATTACAATTCACTTTCAGTGCTTCAGCTAGATTAGGGCAGTGTCAAGTTGGCTTCGAACCGAAATGTTTCAATTCCTTACCAAGTACCTACCTCACTAGCAGTAAGACCTATTTCTCCTCTGAATGTGACTCTTCTAAATACATAGTGCCATGTTCAGCCGATTGTGATCCAAGGAAGATTCGAGGATGTTTTGATACGTTTTTTAACAGTGTTGATCCATTCTGGAATTTAATGGATTCAGAAGGAAAATGCAGGTATGTACAAACCTATCAGAACAGAAGTCCTGTCTGTTGACTCAGAAGCCATTTCGGTAGTAATTAGCAAAATTGAGCAAATAGGACTGCATATAAAACTTAGTTACATATACATTGAAGTATTGAAGTATAGTCACATTTATATATTGAACCAACTAAAAATTACTTTAGTTAAACATTTCGCATCATGCCCGGAATTTAGGCCCACATTGCGGATTACCAGTACTGTAAGAACAAAATACAAAATAATGTATATGGAACAATGTGCACATCTGAACGCAATATTGGTGTTCAGAAACACAATATGAATTTCTTCTTCCTTTTTTGTAGGGAAGTACAAAAAGCAAGACAGTGCGTTAGGATGGCCACAAAGAAATGCGATAAACAGTCACGAGACAAAGCCATATACAAGCTATCTAGATTGGTGATAGCGTATGGTGAAGAGAACTGTCCCGATGGATATGATTGCATGACAGAATTCACTATGTTGGCCAAGAAAATATTTATTGCGTCTGAAATAATAACAAAACCAGATAAAGATAGTTCCAGTAAATCTACAGACAGTGATGATACGAGTGAAAGCAGCGACTCCGAAGACAAAGATCATAAAGCCACTAAAGAATCTAAAGACAAAAAGTCTAATGGGAAAAAGTCTAGAAGAAAGAGAGCACCAGGTGCGAAAGACAAGAAGAACACAAAAGAGAAGAACACAAAAGAAAAGAACACAAAGGAAAAGAGCACAAAAGAAAAGAACACTAAAGAGAAGAACACAAAAGAGAAAAACACAAAAGAGAAAAACACAAAAGAGAAAAACACAAAAGAGAAGAACACAAAAGAGAAAAACACAAAAGAGAAAAACACAAAAGAGAAGAACACAAAAGAAATGAACACAAAAGAAAAGGCCACGAAAGAGAACACTAAAGAGAAGAACACGAAAGAAAAGAGCACGAAAGAAAAGAACACAAAAGAACATAACACGAAGGAAACTAAGGAGAAGAACACGCAAGAGAAACACTCTATGGAAAAGCCCGACATCGATTTGTCTGCCCTATGTCATAAAGCTAAGATGTTATGGAAGTGTATCGAAGGAAGCTATGGTACTATATCCATCAATTATAATGACCAAATCGCTTATCTATCTCTCTATGGTATTTGGTCTTCAGTCAAGGAAAGGTGTTCTAAGACAGGTAAGGCTTATCTTTATCTATGAATATGGTAGTCTGTTCCATGTTGGAGAGGTTCATACTCCCTTGATCAAATCTGTTAGATAACAGATACCATGACGAAAGCTGTAACAGGACGAAGTTTCTTTGTCCAGATTTCCAATCTATATCATTTACAAAGGGTAATCAAGTTGAAATAAGTATTTCTTTCTTACTTACCTACTGACTTGCAAAGGAAACTATTTAATGCTAAGAACCTTTGCGTTCAGTGTATCATCCAAATCGATTCAAACAATTTTTGTATCTATCTTTATGAAAGGAAAGAACTAGGCATATGTCTCCAAGATCCAATCATTCAAATTATTTGATTTGATCATTACAGTGAAACAGAGTTGTTATAGATGTTATGGTGAAGCCGACGAAAAAGAATGTTTTAAGAAGACAGAAGTTTGTTCTCATCACAGCCAGGTACGTTCTATGTACCATTATCATACTCAGTGTACTCTGAGTTGTGGATCTCCACAACGAGCCTCTCACATACATTACAAATACACTAGGTGAGGGAAACGTCTGGAAACGATGCACGTATGGTTCGATTTCTTCTATTTTGCACTGTTGTGATGATTCCGAACCGTATATTCACCAGAACAAGAGGGAAAGGAAGCACCAGACAATGACACCCTTTCGATCTAAAAAGATTCGGATGTTTTCTTTTAGCAGTTTATATCCACTTACCATCTAGCAACAATGTGAAGCATCACACAGGGCTCAAGGCTGATTCATATTTTTAAATTCTTTCAGATGTGTCAAAGTTTTGCTGGAGTGTCAACTAAAACTGGGGTGTTTGAACATAGTAAAGGCTGTGTACGACCATCTCAATGTAAACGTGGTTGTAACAGCATGGGTTGTACAGACTGCTGTATTGGTGAACTGTGTAATGAAAAACTACAAGTGACTGGCGTTGTTGGTACGTTGAATTTTTTGAATTGGTTAACGTTCTTGGTTATGATATGTGATTGAAAGATAGGGTTTGTGCCAGCTTAAAATAACAAGAATTGTTTTAAGTCATTTCTTCCTGTGGTAAACAGAATTATCACTTCATGTGGTCAAGTCATTTTTTAAATTGATAGGGCTAATATTTATAAAATATACACAAACCAATAGTAATGGTTTACCTTCCAGATACTAAAGTTTGTGATGTTAGTAAAGCTGTTGATTGTAGTCTGATGTTGTTGAAGAATATGCATGATGATGGTGGTTGCACGTAAGTTAACTTTTTACCTCACCATTTTGTTGATGTTTAATGCTTTACTTTGTAAAGTACTTTTTGTCCGTGGCGCTGCACACGATGTGTTCGTCTTCAATAAAATCAAAGGAACAACTTTAACTGATTTTCTATATATTTCCAATTCCTTCATTGTCCAAAATGTGACAAAAGTCGAGGAAGAACTTAGATGAAATAAATAAGAAATTAGAGAGATTATATTTTACCATTAAGTGCAAGTTCTGTAATGGCTGTCGCTTTCAATCTGATGTTTGTTTTATTATAGAGAATCCTATCAGAAATTGGAATGTATGATAGAATACAGTAAAGATTGTTTGAGCGATTCAAGAAAAGAAATAAGTCGATCAGCTTCCAAAATTGTTAAAGTATTAGCTCGTAATAGCTGTCCACCACCAATTAGCCAACAGTGTAACTCGGCCGCCATCTTAGCTTTCCAAACTGCTCTCAGCAACCCTTATGTTGCTGGTAAAGACGCAATTTGCAAGTAAGTCTCATATAATTAATCAATAAAATCAATTAAAGGTTCCCCTGTGCCATAAACTTAGGGACTTAAGCTTTCAGTTGGTCCTCACTAATTGTAGATAGGCTGATCATATATGCGTAAGATACTAGGAGACAGGGAGGCTTGAGGGCTGAATCGTTCCTAATCCCCCATCAAAGGCAAAGGGTTCTGCGATTGGTGAAATAACAGCAAATACACTGTTATTGATCGGGTTCCATTCTATTGATAATTATTTTGCAATTCTAAATATTAGTTTGGTTGTGTTTATTTCAGACAAAGATTAGATGCTTTAGCAGCACTGACATCTTTATCAGCTTCATCCACGTGTTCTCCAATTGATATCGTAGTCTATCAACAAGTCATGACAGATTCAGAAAGACTGATCCGAGATTTCTGTTTGTCCGGCACAGAACAATGTATGGTTCCACTCACTGTAGACATAACTATAGATATTGAAGTCTCAGTATCACATGTGAAAAAGAGCCAATGTGCTCGTGAACTGGCTAATTTCGGTATTTGCTTAGCTAATGGTATGATGAAATTGAAAACTGGCTTTGATGACGCCTCATGCGGGTAAGTCTACTTGATCTTGCTCTTTTTCAGTCACTTGTTTACTATATTCACATTCTATTTAAAATGCAGATCGTAGTCTTTAGTTTCGTCCCTATTACGCATGTTACTACTATTGTAATCCTTAATTGGCAGTGGCGGGGCCAAAGGGGGATGGGGGGTGGTGTTCAGAGTCCCCTCCTCGCAGCCAAGGAACTTTTTCGGGCAAAAATTTCGTGACTAAATTAGAAATTCTCTCGGCCATAAACCTGGCTCCGCCACTGTTTATCGGACAAAGTCTTCTATAATAGTGTTCCGTTTTATGACCATCATAACCAGCGGTTGCTATTTCGCATTCCTGTACTTAATTCGCTATGTGCGCTAATTGTCCTTTGGCTTAATAAATCATCCGTTTATTGCAGTGAAGTGAGCCAAAAGAAATGTATGTCCAAGGAACTAAAGAGCTGCAATGTACCAAAAGGCTTGAATGATTTGGGATCAGAACTGGCTACATTTAAAGCCTCTGGATGTACAGTAGATGATCCAGCACCAAAAGATTGTTCTATAGCCACGTTGACCAAGTGTGATATCGCTGAATCTTATAACTGCCTCCACGACCTCGACAAGACAAAAACCAACTTCTGTCAGTAAGTCGAAAACCTTATTAGCCAATAGTTACATGATTTTATCCTAGTTTTCATGTAAGACAACAGAAGAGCTAGTGACTGCGCACATTGGCGTATATCGGGTACATGTTACCTCTTTGCTCCAATGTTTGTCAACTTTCAGAGAGTCCAAACAGCTTATAATGTTTATATTGGTATGCTTATATCCATACGTCCCAAATCACAAATAATTTTGTATTACAGAGATCTGACAGCGTCAAGATCATGTGTACAATCGTCAACATCGGGATGTCTGTCCATACAGGAACTGAGCACGATAGATCTTTATAATACATATAGAAAGGAGAGTAAGACGGTTTGTCTAGCAGCACAGGTAAATAACCGCCATATTTGTGAAGCATTAAGGTATTAAGAGATTAACTTCATGCATAAACGCCCCTTTATCGTTTATTGGGGGAGATGTGATCTCATAGCACCCATGTTCTAAGGGACATGTCATCTCATTGTTGTCAAGTAGGTGGCGTGTAACATTTTATATCGAAGTAACATAAGACAGCATTTTGACTCAATATTTCTGAAATGCCGAATGCATGCATTCAGAAAGCAATACGGAAGATATTCAGAACTATTCTGATCATAAGAAAGAATTGAAAGAAAACAACTATATTTTACTTACATTCACAATTAAGGATCCTTTCTACCAGCTGGTCCTTGGCCAAACCTCTTGGTTTTGATTATGTACCCATTTACAGCTGAATTAACTGGAATCATCCGATCGCTTATTGAAGATATTTGTACATGTTCTATAGGTTCCCGGGCCACTAGAGGTCAAAGTGGACGTCTTCACAGGTTATTCGACGTGTCTTGAAATCTTCGGCGAAGCATTGGGGACTGCCTTTGAGTCTGATGATTTTGAAGCTAAGATATGTAAGGCGCTAGATGAATCTGATACCTGCATTGACCAGGTACCAATGCCTGAACTTACTAAACCGCTAGTTACAGCTACAGTGAATAAGTACCGAGATGGAATGTCCACCTTCATGAGAACTTGCAGCTCAGAGACACCTGGAGGTTAGTTTCAATATAATTGGATTATGAAATTGGGGTACAATTTCGAATATTATTATAAAGTTGGGAAATTCATGAACATGTTGGATGTCTGACATCACACTTAGTCAATTGTGTAGCTACCTAATAAGTGCGATTTTATCGTCGACAAGTGGTCCAAATAGCAAATACTTCTTAGGAAAGCCCGCTTTGCAATGTTTATTGCCAAGGGGGTACTAGCTGGTAACGCAAGAAAGGGAACAACGTTTATCAGATGGTCAGTGGTCACACTCTTGGTATTGATATTTTCCGGGATGTAGATTTATGATTTTAAAGACTCAAATTGATGTAATTGCAGGTGATATTGGTGATGGTGTAGATAGAGTGAAAAGGGATACATCTGGCGATAAATGTGATATTAAACAAGCCGGATTCTGTTTGAGTAAATTAAGTATGATATCTCAAACACTACCAGTCATACATTACTCTGATCATCTGACTTTCTGTAGGTATGTACATGGATATGAGATCTACTCTTTTACTCTTTTATGATTGATATACTTCCTCTTGTGTTAAAAATTCATTAGCTGCGTGCTACCACAATGTTATGCCAATATGCTGTTTTATATTTCCGGTTTCGATTTGCGGTTCGATAGATAGTCCTTGTTTTTTTTTGACACTTGACAGCTTAGCATTTGCATGACCATCAGCACTGCGTTCATCTAATGAGACGCGCTTTTGTTATCTTTCAAATATTGCTGTGCCTTATCAATGGGTATCTCGCAGTTGAAAGTATTTGACCTGGTAAGGCATGCCGACCCTTAAGACACATCTTAGGCTTTTGGAGAGTCCACATTAAAACCTCGTCCACAGTATGACACAATTGTTGTAAAAGTTGTATACTAGTGGACTCCTCCAAAGAAAAGAGCCATCAGGTGTTTCGAAAAGAGTAAACATATCTAATAACATCGTGTTTTTATTCCCAATTGATATATTATAGATCAATGCAGGAGTACGAGACTTGCGTTAAAGACAACATAAAGGAATGTACCAATAAAAAGAAGACTGGACTAATGGTGACTATATTAGAATCTCTGATATCCAGTTCAGAACAATATTGCGTATTGCAAGTACTAGAGGAACCAAGCTGCAATATAGAGTATGCCGAAGAATGTATTGAAACCTTCACAGTTCTGACTTCCTATAGCTCTTATACTCACGAACAGATTTGCAGGTTAGTTAAATTTCTGGGAAGGGAGCGATTGGTTTTGTGAAATGTACAGGCCTGATGTGAGATGTGCTGTTGTAGAATTATAGATGCAGCCCAATGTCCAATAATTTTCAACCCCAGTGCTTTGGTGTCACTCTGCTACTTGGTGTGTCAAATCCATTTCGGTGAATCTTTGTGACAATCTTGTTGGTGCAGCTGATGGCTATGGTTTATTTGGTCTATCTGAAAAGAGGCATATTGATTCAAATTCGTGCAATATTATTGACATCTCGCTGTCTGTTTAGATCGCACAAACGTCTAAAATCTAAATTCAGTCATCATTATTATATTCTCAATTAATTGGTTTTTACTTCATTATGTATCTTTAGGAATGCCGAAGTAACATTGAAATGTGTGAAGAAATTTACCACAGAATGTTCAGATGCTGACCAGTCGACAAGAGTTCGGGGTAAAATCACCACGATTGTTCAGAGTGTAGTTGGTAATGATTGTCCAAGCGTCACGGCTTTACTGTTCTGCGACGGCGCGGATATTGATGCTACATGTAATGCAGAAGAAGCGAAGTCGTGTTTTACAACTCTGAAGAAGAAGCTATTGGATGTGTCTTCTAGATTGGCTGATAAAGAGGAATATTGTCGGTATGTTGATGTTCAAACAACAAGTCGTTTATATAGCTTAAACCAGGGGTTTTCAACCCAAGGGGGGTACTCTAAGAGGGTAATTTTGTTGGTTTTTTTAGGCTAAGGAGACGCTTTGTAGTCTAGAAAATCACAAATTAGAAGGAAAGTTATATCCACATCTTTCAGCACTTTCACATCCGATATATAAATTATTTGATTCCTTATGTTTTTATTAAATAAGTATGTTATACCATAATAATGTATATTTCATTGTATTTTTGTTATAATGACTGTGTTCTCTGTTTCTAAATATCATTCAAATCGTACTTATGTTTTTGTTTAAATATTTCACTCTACAGGGTTGTAACAAAGAACTGGAAATGTTTAAGACAGAGCGTTCAGGGGTGTACAGAAACCGTCTTCAACCAGTTGACCGCAGATGTGGACGCCGAGTTCCTTGTACGTGTCAAAGCCTCTGGATGTGATGGGGTTGATAGTGATCCCATACCACAGACCTGTATAGCTGAACCTACCTGCTCGATTGATTCTTTGTATACTTGTATCGATGACTTCACCACCAAAGCCAAAGATGATAAAGCTTCTGCATGCAGGTAAAATATTAGAATACATGGCAACTCATATCGAAAATGACCCTTATAAAATGCTTTATATTATATAACATTTGTGATTTTTCGACAATTTGGTATATGTTTTTTAAATAAAGTTCACAAAGTCCTTGAATTTACATAGACAGTCGCCTAAATTGATGTATTGGTGTTTATTGGTGTTTAGAGGTAAAGAAGCCTTATAGGCGAAAAGTTCACTTGTGAAAGTAACAAAATTTACTCTAATTTGAACCTTCGCCACCACCTTCTTCGTTATGATGTTAAAGGTGAAATGAACTTCTTGGATATTTTTGTCTTTCAGTTCTGTCGACTCCCATATAACTTGTATCACATCACAATCAGGATGTACCGAACCACAGAAACTAGTTGTCCTTACAGAGTTAACTACTGTTTCTAATGCACTGTGTGGAACAGCCGTCAGCATTGCTCAAACTGTCCCAGAATTGGTCTGTCTGCAGACATTCGTCCAAGATTTGGCATCAGAGATACTGAATCCATCAAAACCAGGCGTTCGTGGAATGTGTGATCTTTTTACGTCATATTCGAGCTGTTTTGGTGCAGCTTCCTTTGATGAATTGGGTGACGTGATTTCAAACTTCTATGGTGTATCCGGAGACATCCTTTCCAAGTTTGTTGATGCTCAGGCTCTCTGTAAAAATGGTAAGAGACATTTTAGTACAATGGGCTTGATTCAGATATATGTATTCTGCGCAATTATGGAGATACCGTTAATAGATAAACATTTGCAAATATGAAAGAACACTTATTTCTAATGATTCAACCATTACGAGCTTCTGTACATGCAGATTAGTATACCGTGTATATTTATACACTTCTTTTATATGTCATGTTCCTGCTTCATGCATACATTCCACCAACATGTTTAAACCATTAATCTTTTGGTAATTTCAGATCCAACCGATAGTAAAGTTGTGAAGATAGGTAAGTAAGAAGAATTGATCTGAACCTTAATGTTCCTTATTCAATCGGCTTGCCAAGAATAAATGTGAAAATTAGCCTGTTACTGTCATGCTCGATACTAAGGCGGTTTCCATATTTTAACCTTATAATATTATTACATTGTATATGTTTCCCTGCCCACGAACCCCGTGGCAGAACCAAAACTGGAAGAGTTATCAGCCCCTACCACACAGAGTATTCGCTCTTACCAATTGATACAGTTAAGCATAGTTTTACTACATTCGTTATTCATTTAATTATTGTATTATTGTAATATAAATTTGATTATTTAGATTTAATTAAGGGATTATCGACAGTAAGCTGTGTGGTTCGACAACTGTCATCTGTACTAGTCAGAAGGCTGCTTCCATTGACTGAAAAAGAGATGATCTGCAGGTAAGGGGTAGTTAAACTTTAATACTGTCCAAAACTCAAGAGAAACGCCGATTTTTCTTTATTTAGTCTTTTAACAAAAGAAAACTTTATGTTCAGTATAGGTATTACACCAATCACTAGGTTGAGGATTTTATCGTAAGCATACGAACAATGATCACTACAATTATTATACAACAATGAACTGGAAATGTTCACTTCTTTGACGTATGCTAATGAACCAATATGTCTCTCAGCTATATGTACCTTTCCATCAACTTCCATGTTACTTCATTTCAATTTATTTACTTCATTTGTAGCAAAACTTCGTATGTAGAATCCTGTATATCAGAAAAGATTTCTGGACTTACTACTGATGAATCAGCCTTTTTCACCAAAGTAACAACTCTTACTGATAGTTTAACTACCAATATCGAATTCTGCCAAGAACCACAACTCTGCCTTCTAAAAGAAGTGACTGTATGTGTTCAGGATCTCCAAACAGAAATAGCAACGTTTGAAACATCTGGAGAGCGATCTCAAGTTTGTCGGTATGTTGTATTTATCAATTGTTACGTAGTGCAATCGATAGCGGCGCCAGCATTTCGAGTCCATTTCGGGTACCAATAGGGGAAGACTATCTTAGTAGGGACAACTGTTAAGGTTGAGATTCAAAATGCGGCGCCTGGACTGAATACGAAACATCTTCTAGGTGATAGTTTCCTACTGACCTGTCGTATTTTATTTACAGTTGTAAGGACGAAAAAGCTTTCGCCGTTTCAGAGACCCATTCCAATACCGCCGCATGTTCAAATTCTGTATTCGTAAGAACGTATCCTACTTTTGCACTTGCCCGTGGGGGTGTTCTACTTAGGTTACGTGGGTACTTTAATCCATAGATATTGACAAAAACAACGGGCATATGATAGAAAGCATCACTCAATAAATTCACTTGGCTATATTTCTAGAAAAATCAGAGAAACTGAAGATTGTGTGAAACACTTTGGTTATAATTGTGGAAATGATGGAACTACTGTGATGAAGACTTTTAAAGCAGCTGAGAAACGAGTTGAAACAATCTGTGCTGATGTACTGCCACCAATCTGTGACAACGTGATGCTGCCGAGCTGTGACATTGTGGACGCTCTAGAATGCATGACGAAGTTCAATGTTGATCTGATTTCACATCAAAGCGTTGTCTGGAGAGATATGTGCACGTGAGTAGTTTCAGTCATATAGCATAATACATCTATACCAGATATGCAATTTAAGCTATTAAAAACGCAGTGTAAGCTAATATATAAGCACAAAGCTCGTCTAATTTTCTTGCTACCATGTTTTGGATATATATAATTCGTCAGCAGAACAACTGGTTTTGAAATTTTTGTTTTAGAAGGTTAGATTCATTTCATTACAATAGGCACATGCGCCCTTGAAGAATAACCTCGTGTATCTTGGTGTTACAAAGGCTTGAGTAGCAATGGTACTTGACCTTCCTCGCGGTCGATATATTAAGGATCGTCAATGGGACGATTTATTCAGAAAGTATTGGTTCTCCTTTTCAGAGAATTGCAAACGACAGTACAATGTGTCGCCCACAGTACATCTTCATGTGATCCAGATGATATTAAGGACGTCGTGGCCAACATGGTTGATCTGAAGAACGGTATAGGTAGACGCTGTCCATGGTTAATGGATGATGTTTGTGGTAAACCATGTACCACTCAGTCGGCTAGTTGTATCGCGGACTTCAAATACCAATTACTTAGTGGCACCGATACAGATATATGTGGGTAAGTGCAGTGGGCATGCAGACCAACACCCCCCTGGGTTCACCTCCAAAATAACGTTAGATGAATTCTCCGGCTCCCTTCATTAGAAAGTTTTCCCCGAAACCCCGTAATTGGCTAGTACCCTCTAAAATCTACAAATGGATGCAGGGTCGAGCGGATGACCCCGCTCCCCTCCCAAATTATTAGTAATATGATTGATGAAAAGTAACTAAAATTTAATTCAGGTTATTTTTTATGAGATTTGAAATTTGAGAGTCGTTCTTCAATATTTCAGATTGATCAAATTGGCTAAAGAATGTATCATTTCCAAAAGTAACACATGTGGTGCAAAACAGAAACAGGCAGGACTGGATAGACTCGACAAAGCAATTGAAGGCTTGAACATACCAGTTAACTGTGAAGATGGCAATGCCGTACAGAAATGTCTGATATCCAATAGACAAGCTGTGTTGTCTGAACTGTCTCAGAGAGCTAGTGTTTCTGATGGTGATGCGGTTTGTAGCTCGATTACCTCCATGAATGAGTGCATTGAAAATGAGAAGGATGGCGATGAGGTACCTCAAGCAATTAGAGATATCTTGGACGCAGTGTTCCCCTTGAAATTGGATTGTTCAGGTAACTGAATTTATACCTCGTGAAACGCATAATTGCGAATGTAATACGCATTCTTCTGAGTCTGCATCATTTGACTGATCCTTTTTCTCTGAAAAAATGGCATACATTCTTTAACATGTAAAATATGTACAGCCGTCTTCTGTAGAGTAACCTCACACAATTCTACATATTATTCCTTTGCCCACCTTTAGCAACGGGCCAGAGTAAAATTATCTTTTGTTTTTTATTTTCACAGCAAATTTGGACGGCAGTTGTGCATTCAAAGACATTAAATCCGCAACTCAGAGGCTCCTGGATTTCCTTATAGCAGTTGCATCCGACCAGACCTCGGACTTCGAGAAAGACGTGTATTGCAGGTAGGTTATAAAGAATTGAACATAATTAACCAATCACAAGTACCATTAAATCAAACAAGATTATTTATGTGAATTTATAAATTAGGATAACTGCTTAATCCCGATGTTTGCTTAATCCCGATGTTTGCCCTATCCCAATGTTTGCTTAATCCCAGTATCTGATTAATCCCGATATCTGCCGGTGTCTGCCTAATCCACATATCCCCTAATCCCGATGTCTTCTAAGTCCAGATGTCTGCTTAATCCAGATGTCTGCTTAATCCAGATGTCTGCTAAATCCGGATGTCTGCTCAATCAGATGTCTCCTTAATCACGATATCAGCTTAATTAATCCAGATATCAATTGTAATGTTTTAATTCTGTGTTTCAGTAAGCTGAAAGTATTGGAAGATTATGTATCAGGTCTCGTTGGTGAATGCAATGATAGAGGTTTGGGAAAGGTACTCAATGGTATGCAATCATTCTGTGAACCAGACAACGGATGTGACGATCTCGAGACTACCTTAGATGCCTGTGTTTCTCTTTATACCCAAGTGAAAAATGACGAAGATAAATCATGCATGTAAGTATTAGCCTCAAAATTATTAAAGGGTTTGATAACAATTAGATTAAATTGGATGATAAATAACTTGGCAAATACAAAAACAATCTGGATATGGATCTACCATGATACGCTTTCAAAAAAGGTCTAGATATAGGCGAATAATACATTGAATACGCTACTGCGTATAAGCATTTGATCATGAGACAATTTACAGCACGCTATCATTATTCTTCATTATTGGCCTTGACCTTGACCTTTACCATCTATTTCAGAGGAATTCAACTAGCAAGAATATGCCTATCGTCAGCAGTCACAGGATGTACAGGTTCCACTGTAACGACCCTTCTAAATACGAGACTACAACTCCTACTCACTGATCCTCTATGTCCACCGATACCACAATTCAAGGTAAGAATAGTGGTAGAATAGTCACTAGTGGTACGCTATGGATTCAGTGGCGAGATATACGAGTAATGACTTCAGATAGGGAATTAAACAGCTAGCAGGTGTGTTGTGGTAGTAGTTTGGTAATGGATGTCCTTAAGGCAGTTTTTGGCCAAATCATTGGTTAGATATAGTCGTCATGTAGTTGAACTTTGACGCTGAATCCATGGGTACAGATCTTGTACAAGGAGTTGTCGGTTTCTCTTTGCCTTATGAAAGCGACGAAATGTGATAATACAAAAACAGCTTTGATGTAACCTTGATTGCAAAGCGTGGCTGGATCTTTGGATCATGATGATGTTCCAAGCAAATTTGTATTGTCATGTACAATGCAATTAATCAGCAAACAAATCACCCATGATCTGATCTAGTTCATCCCATGATGAATGAATGACACTCCTATGTTTTTGCTAGAAACATCAAGAAAGAAGATACTAAATATGTCTGTTAAACAAAAAACTTCGATAAATCTTAGGACATAGGTGGTCCCTTGGATCAGATAATGTTCGGGGCAAATGCCTACAGAATTTGTATTATCATAGATATATATATGTACATGCCTTCTTGTGTTTTGTAGCTTGCAACGTCCACCAAGAAGACTATATATCTGTTAGAAGGCGGTCCTAGTTTCCCATTATCAGTATCATTGTTAGAATCTCCTGGAGACAATGCTATACTTAAACTGACTGTCAAAGCTTCCAACATGGCTTCTTCACCGCCAAAGTAAGTTATCTCCCCTTGTCAGGAACGTAGGTTTTCTAAGTTAACTTTAAAACGCTTCTTGTTTCTTGACTTCTCCATGTTCTAATAACTATGCGTGTCAAATATTAATCAATAGTTGCAAATCAAAAAGAGTATGTTAATGCAGCCCACAGGCGATTATTTCCCTTTGTAAAATGATAAGAAATTTACATCAAGTCAAAGCCGAGCCAGTTACAGTTCAAATGCTTTTGGACATGCAAATGTTTAACATGGAAATCATCATACAAGTTCTATTCCTTTTATCTAACGTTAGTTTTTTTAATGGACATCAGTCCACTATCTAGAAACTGATATCTGTCTCATTTTAGATGCCGAAGTGAAGATGACGAAGGCTTCCAACAAATCCACGTGACGAATCCAAATTCCCTAGAATTTACCAAAGACAATTTTAATAAGGCCATAACCTTTGACCTCAGTGCTGTACTTGATGGACGTGTCGATGGATCGCAAACGATGATGGTGCAGATAGTAGCTGATCTGGTCGTCAATGGTAACATTAAATACAGTGACCTCATTGCTGAATATACCGTAAGTCGTACAACATTAGTTAATAGAATTAATGAATTGATGAATTTGAGCTTCAAGGATGTACAATACCAACTTAAATGAAGAGCACCTTTAATTTAAAAAGATGTAAAATACAAATCACATCTGCAGTGGCCTAAAAAGAAATAAGTTTCAATTCTTCATGGCCAATGAGTGACTGCGTCATGCTCAAACTAGAGATCTCAAATGTAGTTTGTTTTTCCCATAAGATGTCCTTTATTTGAGTGGTGCGGCAACTTTTGTGAAATATGTCTCATGATGTCAAGGTATTAGATGGTAATACCTTGGCATTGTGAAGATGTCCCCACCCCTTTCCACAACAACCCCAGACTGTATCACTATATTGTCATGTTGTGTTGTAGGTACTGGTTGTCGATAGAGATGATAAAACAGCAATTTGTTCCTCAATAAACGATCCTCACGTAAAAACATTCGATAAACTGTGAGTATAGAAATAATGCCAGCTTTTTCCTTCTTTTTTGTTATATATAGCTTTTCGCCAAGCTGACAGCATCTGACGAGACTTTAATAGACCTTGAGCCGTTCCACAAAATTTCTCTAAAGTTCAAAATTACATTCACATTTCCCTATAAGCTTATGCTCATGTGCATTTTCATTGGAAATTGTCAAAATCAAAGTTATCCGTTTCTATTTTGCAGATTGTATGATAATCAACTTCAGGGGAAGTTTGTACTATATAAACATCAAACATTACCTTATATGGTAAGAGATTTTTGTTAATTACAATATTCAGGTCAAATATGATTCGCGACCAATTTTTGTGGTCATTTTTCCTTCCTTCCCATTTCACCTTCCAGTCAGTAATGCAGTTCGGTAAATAGGTTTATGTTTCCGTCTTGGCCAACCATCCCTTATTGCCCGTATTCATTATCCCAAACAGGCGCAGAAACCATTGTCTTTGCATATTCGTTGTAATATGACTCTTTCAATTTGTTTGATCACTACTTATATTTTAATTCGTGTATTCTCTCTCAGGTTCAAGTGACCTACCAGAAATGTGCTGAAGAAGGAACATGTAACTGCCGTGTGCAGATCCTCTCTGGTGATGATGTCATAGACTTTAACAGATGTTATACAGAGACTGACGATCGTGATGTATCCAAACCATTAGAGCTATCAATTACTAGAACTGGAGATTTTACCCACAACACACAGATCTATAGCCAAGATGAAGGTCGCAGATTTTACGTAAGTTGTCGTGTTAACAGTGGGTCATACCCCCCCCCCCCCTCCCCTTCTTGGACCTATTAAAGGTCTTATTTTGAAGAGAAAATGCTCAATATTCATGTCGGACTATTTGAAATCCGTCGGCGCATGGAGGCCTCTGGCAACCCCAAGAAAGATCCCCGGCCTCAAGAGTCTTCGTCTTTGAAAATATTTAGACCAATGAAAACTCTTCGAGCATTCTGTAATTTGATCTACTTTTTAGGTATTGTTACCAACTGGTACCCTGGTACAGATCAGACTTGGTGATTTTTATATGAACGTGTGGATTACTCCTTCAGTTGTAGATAAAGATCATACGGAAGGTAAAAGCCATGATTCACCATTGTCGGGGTTGATTTGGTTCTTGAATGTATATAATAGTCTTCAGAAGTACTATAACTGCACAAAATCGCAAATATACCTCAAACTAGAAATTTCACTTTCTATTTCTATAGATGTCTTTTGTATACATGTATATTACGGAGTCTCAAGAAAAGTCGTCATTTTAGCATAACATAGTATAACATAGATGGAGTCGTGGTTAACTTTGAGCATATCCACCTGAGGCAGTGAATTTTGACCGAAGATCTTCGGGTTTCAAAACCGTAAGAAACAACTATGTAACGTAGAAGCGTGTTGAAAATCACTTGACATGAATATCCATTACCGTGTTCCAAAGTAGGTGGTTTATCTGTCACAGTAAAACACGATAGAAATTCCTACTACCCTCAGACATGAGATGTACATCTGATATTCTACAGGTCTATGTGGAGTGTACAATGGAGATACCTACGATGATTTGAGATTACCTAACGGTGATAAATATACAGTAATTGATGCAGATAAGACTGGGGGTGTTTTAACTGTCAATGATTTCTCTAAAGAATGGAGGTGAGTATAGCCACTGACGTTTCATTAGGTGTGATGGCGAGTAGAGACCATAGAATTGCCAAAAGGGGCTCTCAGACAATTATTTGACTATGTACAATAGAACAGAGTCATCAGAAGGCACCAATTCACATTTAAATACACCTCGCGTATCAGCCATTTCCATAGATCAATCCCTTCCAGAAGTTAATTGACAGCTTGGTAAATTGGAATATACAGGATATATATCTATCTATGGACTTTACATCTACAGAACAAGACAGATTGTTTAATATTGTTTTATGTTTTTGTATTATAGAGTTATTATAGATTCAGATAACGACTTGAGTGTAAGTTCTACTGCATACTATTCTGATGTAACATCAACGAAACAATATACAGTTGAAGCTTGTGGTCTAGTACAGGGTAGGTACATTTCCTGGTTCGTAACTCGCTGTTCGCATGAAGGCCAAAACGTCCTGATTTAGGAAACTTTTGAAACGACGACCAAACTATAGAAATGTCTTTTTTTCCAAAGATATTTTTTAAATTCAACCAGATCCCATTTGCCTCATTTTAACTTGGTTTGCTGTATGACCTTGGATTATTCCATCGGTTTCAGGTATTGATATCACAAGTGATCTGGTCTCAGAAAGTGAAGAGTACGCCACTGATGGTAGAAAAAAGAGAGCTGTTGCTAATGATAATATTGATATTGATGAGTCTGCCAAACCTTCAGTAGGTTATCTTTCCTTGTTCAAGTATTTTCATGATTTTCTCTAAATATAAATGCGAATAAACAACCATATTGTATAAGGATAACAACTAAGGTTCACAAGGATTTATTCTACCAGCTGTTTGGGTTTGTTTAATGAATGTGCAATGCTACAAATGTTGACGAGCAATATCATGGAATAACCATCGACTAGACAAGTTTTCTTTTCAAACCTATTATTATTCAAAGCTAATAATGATAGTCATTGCTTTATTTTTAGGTCAGTGAATGGCCCACCAAGACAGGCTGGACTCTGAATAACGCCACAAAATTCTGCCAAGACAACATCCTGAGCTGGGGCGTGACGCAGAAGTGTTTGGAAGCAATCAGCGCTATTGGCGGGAAAACAAATTTTGAAACAGAAGTGAATAACTGTGTGGCAGACATCAAGGTTTGTATGGACGACAAATCGGAAGGTCACAATTACTGCACCAGCCACCCATACTGGGGGTTCAAAGAGGGGCGGACGACTCAATTTGGGGGCAATGTCTGGGCTGAATTCAAAATAGTGCTTTGGCTGGTGTCGCTAACTATCTGGGCACGACCCCTCCATCCTCCGAATCTCTTGAAGCCACTTGGAAACCCTTTCAGAGAGTCTACATAGCTAATATTTAGCTAAAACTGAGTTGAATTGACATCATGAATGCCAGATTTCAATAGTTTGATGCCTGTCCTAGCAAATCGGCAAATTGGCATTTCATGATGCTTGCATTGATTTATCTTATTTATTCCCACAGTTGAGTGGAAATACGAATTGGGTTGATTCAGCTAAAGATGATGTTCTACAGAATTGTTTAAATGAACTCAATAAGGACGTCCAGTACCTGAATAATCCCGAAGCCAAACTGCAGGCTGAAGCTGTGATGAGTTCTTCGTGCAATCCATCAGATTGTAATGGTAATGGTCAATGTACAACTGGTAGGTGCTGATTCTATTTCATCGTGTGAATCGTATCCACTGTATGTGAAGAAGGGGTGTAACTGTCCAAAGTTATATCCATAAGCTATCTTCGAACATTTAAAGTGAAAAATTGTGTGTTTCTTCCCAGTGCAGTGCGTCTTCCAAGATAGCATCTATACTAATCTCGTACCCTTTCTGCTGTCTTTCTGTGATAGAGGACACATTAATTGGCGGATTTACCATCTTGATTTTCTATTATATTAATAAATTACTATTTTATAACTGTGCTATAGGTACATGTATATGTAAGAAGGATTATTATGGATCGGATTGTTCAATGAAGGAAGATGAACTGCCAACCCCAGTCCTGTACAGCATCAAGAATAACGGAGAATGTATACTATCAGACAAGTCTAGTTGTACTAATGTCTTTATTAGTGGTAGACAATTCATACAATCTGAAAAGCTCACCTGCCATATACAGCCATTGGAGGTAAGCTGGTACTTTCTATTGATAACTGTTACTTGTTTCTTACGTTTATTGTTCCAAATCATCATCACTTTTGATCATCATCATCATCACCATCACAATCATCATCATCATCGCCCCTACCTTTAACAGATCATTTACCATAGCCTATCTTTACAGGTAACGGAAACTGGACATAAGGCAGTAGGCCAACCAACCATTGTAATTGCTAAACTGTTGACGTTAAATCAGATCTCCTGTAAAGTGAGCGGTATCAAAACACCTACCACCAGTCTCCATATCTCTATCAGTAATAATGGAAAGTCAACTAGTAACAAGCTGATGTATATCGCTTATAACGTCGCGATCCATCAGTGTAATGCCCTGGAAGGCACCTGTAAATTACAGGTAAGTACAATCGTAATGATTTCAGAATCTGCAGAATTTCAGTATCTTTCATTACGAAACTAAGATTTTTTTGTCCTATTGGACTCTTGCTTTAATTTCAAACTTCATTATTGTCATGATCAAGTGGAAACGTTTAAGTACAATTGCAGTGATTGCGGTATCTGCAGACTGTCCAATACTAACTTCATAACGAAACGAAGAATCCTGAGCATTTTCGAAAACTGCTTGACTCTTGGTTTTGATGTGAACGTCGTTATTGTCAAGTTTATGAGGAAACTTTCGTTTATTATTGTTCATTTGACCTAGATACAAATTAACAAAATCAATAATTGTTATGTCGTTGTTTTCAGTCCAATCTCTGTAAGATTGGTGGTCAGGTTTACAATAAAGATGAAAGTCTACCCACTGATAAATGTTTATATTGTAACCCAGAAGAATCTCAAACTAGATGGTCGTCAAAATCAGGTCAGTGATTTGAATTACTTAAGTATGCTGCCTCTATCATAAAACCGCTGTTGACGAACCACATGTTGATTCCTATGCAGGCAGAGTTTCCCTTTTACACAATTTTCAAAATCTAATTTGTAATGATTTAAATGGTTCACGGTTATCTCCACATGATCATGGTAAAGATGAAGTCTGTTTACAACTATACATATACCACCAGGTGACACAAAGTAGGGCGTAAACTTAGTATCAATTGTTATTTTAATTTCCAGAAGCCGGATGTGAGATTATAGCGGAGAGGAGAGATGATAATCCCAGTGGATTAGGATTAACCGAAACTATAATTATCGGAGTAATTGGTGGCTTAGCATTCTTTATTATTGTGGCCATTTTAATCAAATTTGTTCTCGTCAAACGAAATAGGTAAATTAACCATTGAACTATAACATGTTTATGTTCATCGAATCCTTTGATAATTGAGAATATCTAGTAGGAACTTAATGCTCTGTTTCATATTTACACGTTGGCATTATGACAATATTAGATACAGAAATCTAGGATGGTAGATAGGGAAAATAGTTAATCTGGAACACCATATTTCATGCTGCGATTTGGATTGCCAAATTAGACCACTCCCCCACCCCCCTCCTTCCCTAATCAGCTTACAGAGTACACATAACTGATCCTGTTTATTCGAAGGAAATTCTATGACGAGTGCTTGTAAAAATGAAATGTTACCAATTATGTTGATATGGTTTGATTCTAATCGTTTCAGACGAACTCCAAAGAGAGTAGATGATACGGAGGTTGCTCTTCCACCTTCTCCTAAATCACCCCAGGAACGAGAACTCCAGATTTTCCAGAATGAGGTCTATGTGAGCAGTGATGGTAAGTATCAGTGTTCTCATAATTTTAATTTATCTTAAGACTTACCCAAAATGAACTTGCTGTGCTCATTACACATTACGGTTCAGGGAGGGGAAAAATAGGATGCTACTGGCTTTGTTCTGTCACTCATTGTATACGATATTGTGCTTCCTCCGTGATCCCTATACAATTATTTTCATAAGCTGTAGCCTGTTTTCAAAACCTGTCTTATATTGATGTATGTATAAGGTAGTTACAACACATAGAAGATCCACAGTTTCTACACCTAGTCATTCAAGCAGATCTACAACACTGACAAAGGTGGTGACCTTATTCAGAAAATATCCAGGTTAAAAACTCGACCTCTGAGCAAAACGAGATGTGTCTAATTACCATGTATGTGTATCCATCAATCTTATTTGATTTTTCTTTTCAGATTTGAAAGATGAAAACGATTCAATGCCAGAACTGAATGATTCTCGATATTTTGATGACAGAAGTGCCTCCGAAAGATGCAGCACAAGAATTAAACCACGAATAAACACACAGTCTATGTCGGGGCCGTTTGTGACCAAAATAGATATCAATTGAACTTGAGAAACCAACTGGACCTTTGCTTCATAGATCAATACCATGAATTTGTATTATAATTTTCATTTTTCTAAAGCGTAAGGCTTCAATTGAATGATTTTGCGATTTGTGAAGCAAAAGTCTTGTAAACTTTAAATTTTCCTTATAAGTAACCCTTGTTTAAAGATGGTCAGTACCATAATAGTTTTTATTAACCCCAAATTGCCAGTATTACTAATCAACTACGGATTTTATACGTTTTTTAACCCTTTTAACGAGAAATGTGTTCATGTTTTGTTTTATCTCTTTGCAATTATGAATTTTATTTAATTTTTGTTTGAAATATAAATATATAAATATAAGTTAATACAAAATTATTAATGCCAATTCACCTATATTCGTACAAATTTTTAAAGGCATTCCGAAAATTCACGAGAAAAGTTCACGAAGGATATTTGAAACCTTATATGCCAAAAATATGTAAGGCACTGTAAGCTAATTTAACTTTCAAAGAAAAACATATTTTATACAATATTTTTCTTCTTGTCTATAATCAAATTTCGTGAAAAATCTCTGAAAATATTCCCTCAATTTTTAATGAGTTTGTAGATGTTGATGTCGTGTTTCTATATTTTTATATTAAACCATTCCAGGAACATATTTTGGGTTTTTTATTTCTGAAAAGGTACGATACCGCATTTACTGATCTGTCCTGTCTTAACTATAAGAAATATTCCACTTGAACAGTTTTACTTAAGTGGGCAATTCGAAAGGGGTGTTGAGTTGACAAATACATTTGCAGAATCACATTAACTTTTTATGTAAACACTATTCTATTAAGTAACTGGAAGGGGTTTGGGAATCAGACATAATATCGATCAAGAGATCAGAGATAAAATACAAACAATAAATATAATTTTATTTCATATCACTTATAAATTCTGCATGTATTGAAGAAAATAGCCATTTTAAATCTATATCACAGTGTTTGTATTTATGTATTGCACAATTTGCTATTAATATAATAATATGGTGTGGGTTTCATGAACAAATTCATTGCATTATCTGAAACCCTATTGTAGAAATAAATTGTGGCTTTCTTCCATTTATCAATGAATAGATAACCATTCAATTCAATTTAATTCAAAAATTTGCTAAAACCATTTTGTCCATTTGGAGAAACGTGTGTATTCAACGATGTAAATAATCTGTTAATAATTAACTTATAAAATATCAAAATGCATTCACAATAGTTTATGTCCTTAAGAATAATTATACTCTTGTTTTGACTCTCTGGTAGGTTGATTAGTTCGTAGATGACAAATAAACGTCTGCTTCCAGCTAGAGCTGATATTGCTGACGATTAATCGGGTAAGGTGTAATCATATCTATGTTGGAAATATCTTTCCTGAACATACTTTATATGTATTATTTGAATAACTGCTTCGTATATCATTTGATATAGTATATCCACTACGATTCCATGTTTGTTACAGTTTTCACAGCTTCTTCGTATATTATCTGAATCACAATTTGCACCACAATTCCGAGGAACAATATCATTATTTTTTAAATAATACAATAATCTTATAGTTCAAACTTCCACTTCTTGATTGGCATCATAAAATAATGTTTCCTGAAAACACTCGGTATCAGTATCTATATCACCGACAGGAGTCACTGGAATCCTCGTTAGATCTTTTAATTCTATCATCGGTGTCGTACACATAGATGTTGATTTTGGACTAAAATTTAAAAGATTTCATTAAGGGATAAATTCGTAACAAGCAGACTGTTTAATGGTGTGGGAACACAAACAGTCTTGATCTCCGATTTTTTTAATCTTGAGCAAAATCTCACGTTTTCCCAAGCTTCCACGTCAAGAGTATTTTGTTACCGACAGGATTTATAATAACAAGCCAGTTTAGTCGCCGATTGTTTTATGTCTGCAAGACAGAGCGTCAAAATCAAGTCTTTTGAAAACTATTGTCAATCTCAACGGTTACTAAATTGTTACAGTATCCATGGTGTTATCCCATAGTTATCGTTGAAAAGTGAGAGAGAAAAGTCCGATTATGTATAGACTAATATAATGAAAAAGGGTTAATAAAGGTTGATTTTAACACTTCGAATAAGTTAGAATACAATTATGAAAAATATTTATAAGAAATCGTAATTTTCTATAGTAGACTTAGGTTCGGGATTTTGGCAAATAAAAAGGTTAAATCATGGAAACACATCGTTATGTCTTACGTAATTACCAATCAATGGGAATGACTTTAACACATTAAAGATGGTTCAAATCAGATTTTGCCATTTTAATAGATTATAGATATTTTTGTAACAGTTTACTTACCCATTCGGATCCCAATGACCGCTTTCACAGATTGTAGAAACTTCATTATCGGGTGCATACCGGGTATTGGTGTTCTTGGTTCTATGTTGCAAAACATACAGTTTAATAGCTGCTTGATGAAGTCTTTCTGTTACCTTTCGATCATCATTGCTATAAATAAAAGATAACAGGTTTGCTTAAGAATTACGAGACCAGACATTTAGGGCATTTAATGGGAACAGCTAAATATGTTATGGCACTCTGTTATGGCATCCCTTTTAAAGTTTCCACATAGTTAATCATTTTTTCATCGAGCACTGGAATATTACTCAGGGTTCAGTGGATTAATCACCTTCATGAGGTAATGTAGACCAGAGGAAACGACCAAGCAATTAGCTCAACGTTACATATACAAAATGTTACTAATTGTTATCTTTTGGCAAAACCCATATACCAACCTGTTGTCAGAGGCAACAAGTCGTAAATTTTCCTCTAAAATTCCCGGTAAATCAAAATTACTATGTTCCACTGAAGGCTGTTTGGACTGATAGGCAGAGTCCCTAGTTTGAAGATTAAGCGATGGTTGACTGTCTGGGTATTGTGATGGAGAATGAGGTCTTTGTCCTATGGATACAGCACTATCACTATCAGTCACTGAGAGTAACGATGTGCGTGGTGCTAAAGGATCGTTCCCACCAGAAATCGACACACGTTCAGATCGAGATAGTCTCGATTGTGGCCTCGGCTCTTTTCCACACATCGGATACGAATTGGTCGGACTCAATTTCTTATGTATGTTACCATTCCTTGGTTCTAAATATTTATTTGATTCGTTCTCCGGGTAAAAATCTGTAAGATCCTGACTGAGAAACTTTTGTAAAATATGAAAGCGTCCAATATCGCTCAAACTTCCTTTGTGAGAATTCGTTCTAGAACCTCTTTGTCTTTGATACTGTCTTATTATTTCACTCTCCAAACCAGAGTCTCGCCTCCCTGATTTTCCGTCCAAATGTTGATACATGTCAAAGCCACTACTTCGACGTCGGCGATCACGTCTATGTTTTTCCGATTGAACACTACCTGGATGTCGACCGCAATCGCGATAAGCGTGACGTCGTAGCGAACGATCATCAAAACTGCTATGATAACATGCTAACAAACCGTGACGCTGTTGGTACTCGTATTCTGATGTTGCACGCCGACATTTGACACAGTAGCAATTTTCTGAAGCACCGCTCATCGATGCACCGTACTCGTGTCCATACACTTCCATACTTTTAGACATTTCCTTGAAATGACGCATTCTGTCCTCTCGGTGATGTCGATCTCTTGATCCATTTCTTCGTCTAATATCGGGCATCGGACCATGACAAACCTGCATCTCTAACTTTGCAATCTGTGAATCCGATAGAGAGTGGCTCATAGTTTTTCTAGCTATTCCTAGATCTTCATTGGACCCACCCCGGTTGTCATCAGTACCTCCTTTGCTGTTAGAAATGATCACATTGGGATAAAAATGGCTGTTAGTGTGACATGATCCGTCTTCTGATAGCGAAGATTGATTCAGAGCGAGGTCGTCAAACTGGGTTTCCTGGCGAACTAGATACGGACCGGTACTGTGAGAACGCTTCATCCGAGAATCCTGAGGCACTAACAGCGAAGAGGAAGTAGGGGGATCAAGGGATGAGAATTTCCGATTTTTGTTGATTGTCGGCTTCACTTTCAGATGATCTAGAGACAATCGTCCGCCTACGATATCCCCCGAATTCTTCTCGTCCACAAGAAAGGTAGCAGTATTTTGGATGAAGTCAGTCGCCACGGGAGTTGATATCGGGGATCTTTCAGCTTCTTTGTAGGAGGCGAAAAATCTGGTTGCTGCATTATGTCCAATTTCCGCTGTCTGAAAATAATTAAGGTATAAGTTTACGATTATAGGCCTCACGTTTATAACATCATTATGTAAGCTGATATCCATTCTGTCTGTAGAGCTATATCAAAGGCGTTTCTAAGAAACGTCAGTTGAGGGGCCTAGCAGGGGCTATGTAAAATTTCAAAGTGGGGTGAAAACCTGGACAAGCCTCCACTGGGCGATATAACCACTCATGACTTAATTATACACAACGTTTCAACAATTTACATTATCACCGCCAGATTATAAAACAACATTGTAAAAACATAATAAAAATGACGTACCGGAAGAGTTGGGGTATACGGAGTAATCACGATTGGTGGTATTGAGGTAAATATTTTTAGAGAATTCTCGACGCTATAAACCTCAGCTGGGTGACTGAAAGTTGTTTCGCCAATTTCTTGATTCTTCTCTGAAAAATAAAATGGTCGCTAAAATAAGAAACTGCCCAAATATATCACAGGGCTCATCTTAAAACAACAAAATATACGACTCTGTTTGTATGCAATATATAAATTCATTGTCTCCTAATGTGTTCGTCATAATCGGATATTAAAAAAGTAGATATATAGTTTTTTAATGGGATATAAGACGTACTAGTAGATTTAGAAGGTAACATCCGACATTGATTTCTTCAATTGTTTCATACATTCAGCAAAAATGAGACTGTGACAGTATCAATCTCAAAGGCGATTTTACACAGATAATATATGACTTAAAAAACAATGACTTTTGACCCTTCATAGATGAATTAGTCAGAAATAATGGGAGCGGTAAGGTTTAAACCCTCTCCAAAACAAACTTACTTTCTTGTTGCTCTCTAATCTTCTTGATGTTTGTTTCGCAACATTTAAAGTGTTTATCAAATTTTCGTCGAATACCGTACAAAATACCAAACAATACTAATAATAATAATATCACTATAATTCCGATCCAGATTGGTTCCTTTAGTAATCTATCTCCTATATCTAACACAGATTCCTGCATGGTCGATACTTCTGAACAATTAACACCTAAACAAGGGTTGAATTAAAAAAATCCTATAAGCAAAATGAATAAGTTACAAGCATATTTTGAGCAAATGTCTCATGAGCGTGAACCATTGAATGCAAAATCGAGTCTAACTAGGTAATAGATTGTGACATGATAGCAATGAGCCACCATTGTTATCCAGTTTAGGAAGACGCCACTGGTTCTCGAGTTGATTTATTCCCATTTTAATTGCGTTTCAAGAAAATACTCCGACTCAGTTGTAGGCCACACCTCCAACAAACTAAAATAGCTACAGAGAACTGTGTTTTCCACATTAACAGGTTTCTGTTGTCAGATTGGCAATGTGTTAATTAATACGCTAAGTGCTGAGGCCATTTGGTTCTTTAAAAAACATTGGAAAAGTACATCTTATTTGGATTATTCAGCAAGCAATGCACACAGTAAATCTTTTGGGAAATAGAGGTATTAACATTGCATTGATAACAATGTTACGAAAGGACAGGTTTAGGTCGCAGACAAACATTCTAACGTGAATGTTCCACAAGCGCTCTGCAACAGCGTCAGCTTCACGGGAACTGACGACAATTGTCGAATGGGTATGAGTGGTGAATTTGGACTAAATCACCCCAAACCAAAGCCTATACATACCTTGTGTCAAAGCATTACAACGGCACACCGGGGCATTGGAACTGCCAGTGCATTGTCCGTTACCACTACAACGATTGCTGGAACACAGAATAGAGTTCATGGTACATCTTGTACCCCAGAAACCATGATGGCATTCACATTTATAGTTTGAATTAACTGTATCCAGCAGGCAGGTTCCTTGGTCACAGGGTTTTAGATCACAATACTGAACTTGGCACAATATTCCTGAAAATGGTAATCAGTCAGCGATAACAAATTATCAATATATCAATCAAAATTTAATCAACAATAATAGAAAAAACTGCTGGTAACATTTTATTCAATGGTACACACAAAAACCGTTCAATTCAACAATGGCAGCACTTTAAGGTGCAGTAACACAAGCCTAGGCCCCAACATTAAAATGAAAAATGAAAGTGAAAAAAAACAACTATTGGGAAATACGAAGAGCTTATGACGTAAGCGTATAACACTATCGTGTATCTATTTGAAGATTGTAGGTTACAAAATATATAATTCTATCAGAATTGTGGGTAGTTAATCCTCAAATTAACATCTTTAACATTTCTTAACTTTGCCAGGTTCAATATACCGTACAAATTAACCTTCTCGTTAATTAGCTTAATAAAGATGTTAATGTATTGAAAAACGATATATTAATATTTTAGGTTAAAGACAGCATTTCTATATTCTTAGAAGCTTTAGTAATCAATGCTGAAGATCGACACCAACTGTTAATCGTTTCACTGTCTATAAATACACATTATGTTATCAACTACCAAACCAACAGCACATAATCATTCAATTTGAATCCAACTACAAACTAATACGACCACTAACTAACTACCTAGTTTGCGATATCAGCATCAGCATCCACCTTCCTACCAAGAACGACAGTCGCGAAATTTCAATATGTAAAAGGCTACATTTTATATGGTTGAAAAAAGCAATCTGAAAATGAAAATACTAAAAACTTATCTAGCTTGGCTCACCTCTTACCTGAATTGAATGACAAGAGGTTACTATAAAACAATTCATGAACTTAACTGCTCTCCAACATGATGAAGGCGAGCCGTCAATGTAACTTTCACACCTTGATACGTCGCATGCATATGGATAAAAAGGCTAGCATTTCGACGGAAAGATGTGGACACCGTCACTGATTAGCTTAGCTTAACTGTTTCTGAGACTAAGAAAGGTACGATTGATCAAACGGGTAGTGAATGTTGCCCTTTCTGGACTATTTAAACCTCTTACCTGTATAAGAACCTCGACACCGACAGTAAAACCGGTCTATACTGTTGTTAACACACGTTCCACCATTATAGCATTTGACTTTATTACATGATTCAAAATAACCATATTGAAGCCACATAGTTTTATTTATAAATACATCATCTGAAATTAAATCGTAGAATTGATCTGGAAATAGAGTCTCTGGTGAAGTTCAAATATCTAGTGTTTTTTTTTTTTTGTTTTTTTTTTTGGTTTCCTTTTTATAATTAAATAGTGTTCATTTGTAACGCAGTAAATTTGAGAAATAAAAACTAAAATAACTAAGTATTTGAATCAGAATAATTCGAGAAGTCCGAAACAATGGCCAAAGGCATAGGGCCTACCTAGCAACGAGTTTGTCTGCAACCAGCAACATAAACCAACACTTTCAATGAATGACGATCTACATTGGAAAGATAACCGTGGTCAGTGATGTTTGATACGATCACAAAACCGCGAATTAATAATAAGCCGATTCTCATTTAAAAAACGCTTTTGAAAAATGACAGAGAGGCTTCGTCTTTGGGGAGCGGGCCGGGGGGGGGGGGGTATCTAGTGTACCAATTGTTAGGATTCAGGCAGGGCATGGGTCACTTTGGGTAAATGATTCCACTTACCATACCGAGCTGTGGCGCTGATTTTAAAGGAATGGAACAGTTGGCTTGAGACACTATCCGGATAATGAACTTGCAGCTTTAAGGTGTTATAGACAGATTCAATAATAAAGATATTTTCACTCTTATTCAACGCCGTATCACATAAATCAAACAGCATCACAGGTGTCTGATCAAACGACGCATCGCTAATGCTGAATATAGTACCTTCACAGGTATTCAAAAAATCTAGATTAGTAAAAGTTATTTCTAAAACCAATTGATATGTCACTTCCGTTGTTAAGATAATGACGTAGTCCAGGTTAACCGGATGTTTACTGGGATAGTTGTAGCTATAGATCATACGTTGGTCATTAACACCTATAAACTCCCTGCTAATTAAATTCCCTGTAAGTACTGAAATAAAAAAAACATTGTGTTAATGTCTCTCTCATGCTAAAAGCAATTTTCATATCGTCTTATCAGCTGATAGATGGAGCTTAATGTAAATAGTTTCACATAAAGCTAATTTAGCAGGGAACCAGGTCACGAAGGTAGAACTAAATAGTTTGACGTGTTTTAAATTTCATTTGGGTTATAAAATATTCAAAATAGCAATACAAAATTTCTTGAATTTTCGTGTTCAAAAGAAAAGAACCTTATATGGTGTTGTCATAAATAAAAAAAATAAAAAACAATAGTTTATTGAGAAAAAAGGACAAAGATACAGGCGGAGTGATACTGATTCACCATAGATAAATATATCTTTAAATATACATCTCTTTATGAAATAACCTTCAACAAAGTATATCAATACCACTAAGGTAATTAACGTAGCTTCCGGATATGTATTTTTGTTATCACATCTGCTTAATTACTAATTATTATTTCGAGAGAATTGTCGAAATTCAATAACGAATCACAGGACCACAGACACAACTAAGTTCCATTTCATCATTCAAGTAAGTTAATCTTTACAATTCAACTTATGTTGAGCTGTCATGTTTTAAGCGATGTTTTTGGTGCCGTTCCCTCAAAATGTCATAAGGTACTTAACATACGATATGCAGCGTCAAGAAAATAGCATATCCATATTACTTACCTATTTCATAATGTCCTTTAAATCCATAGGAAGCCATCATTTGATTAGTTAATCTATTTATAGTATAAAATATAGTGACTTCATTGTGGCTGGAAAGGTACTGGACATCCAGTGGATTTTTCGAGTTCATACACACAGTGTCATTACCTAGGTCTACAGTCACACAATCAGTGCCAGTGGTTCCTGGTAATTCGTCAAATGTTAATAATATCCTAGAATCTAAGGCACCCTGGAATGCGATGGAACAATTTAAGGCTTCAGAAAGTGGTTGACCGTAACCAAAACTTGTAAAGGTTCCCGAAGAGTCGTTAAAAAGTTTATTCTCACACAAACCCACATCTATTTCCCTCCATTCGATTACAAACCCTTGTCCAACCACGGAATCATCCGATATGAAAGTCACATCCACGGAATTGGATTGAGTTAAATAGGATTTAGGCACTGAAGAATTTCCACAAAGTTGTTCTGAGATTCCGAAATCCAGAATGACCAGCCTATCATATAAACAGTATTTCTGATATTCAATATCAAAGCTAGAAACAGTCAATAAAATACGTTTTCCTGAAATCTTAATCCGCCACGTTATATTTTGATTGTTCTCATACACACCGTCAATAGAAGGCACTGAAATATTTCCACTGGATGTAGTCAAATTTACTATCATTTCATCTAATACTTTATCTAAAACGAAAACAAACATATATTTTGATTAGAATCTACTGTTGCCTAAGACAATTAAAATTGCCCTTACTATCTTTACTTGGTAGCGACATTTTAAGCAATCATATATAATCTGTTTCAAGTGAAATTTCGAGGCTGAAATGGAACAAATTAAGATATTCTCTCGGCAGTTACCATTTGGCAGAACACCGCAAAAGTGCGAGCAGAGATCCTACAACATCTTGTTTTCCCAGTCGTTTCATCAGTCGATACACCAGTTTGTATCAAGACACTTGATTTTATCAGGAAGTCACTAGTACCCCCAGCAGATGCAGCTGAGCATCCCCATGGCCAATTATGAAATTGAAGGGTTTTGTAACGGCATACATTGGGTCCATTATATGCAGAATTTTTACGATCTTTGATCGCAGTCGTGAAATATGGGTACAAAGGGAAACCCATTCACATTGTTTGCCTCTTTTGGAATAAAATGTTCTTGGTCTTTTCATGTTGTAGGTAATTTATAATTTTTAAAAAGATATACAAAATCCTATCGGAAACTAAAATATCATGACGTTCAATATAATAATAGGCTGATGTTATGGCTTGTTTTTGTTTTGTTTTATATCCTTATAATAAAACTCTGATAATAGATTAGTAATAACAAAGTTTATTTTTGGTATTTGACATTATCAACTAATACTGACTGTGAAAATCAAACTATTGTTTACCTGTACAGTTACTATAACATATAAAAGGTAGAGTTTGATTACATTGTTGGGTTACCATAGTAATATTATGAGGAATTGTCGTCTGGTCATTTAATACTTTTGGTTGCCAAGTAATTTCATTACACGATAAACTCTCTTAAAAATAAAAACATCATTGGAAACATTAATATATAAATGATTTCAACATACGTTGTAATGAATATCTTGTTTCCTGCCAGAAACCGAACAGTAAATTTAAACAGGTTTGTTTTTATTCATAACCACGGAATCTAACTATTACAGTTCAGTAATTATAACTTACCGTAGCGTATTGCCAAAATCACATCAAAAGACTGTAATCAACACAAAAACTATTGCCTAAATCACTTTGTGCAACTAATAAGTGTGGAAATCAGTAAACGGAATATATATATATATGAGTTCTAGGTTATAGCAGAATATTAAGCTAATATCCACTACTATTAATGTACAAGGGAGCACACCAAGGTAATGTCGAACCACTGACTACATTATCAGGGTGATAAGAGTTATTACCTGTTTGATTATCAGACGGCATCCACAAACTTCTTGTAACCTTGTTATTGACTATATATAGATAAATAATATATTAAAACACAAAGATATATGGATAGGCCGTGGTTATTCGCACCAGGATGGTACAAAAATGGGCATTAAAAATCATATGGCCATCCCTACCTTAATCATCCCTACCTAACTCTAACAAAGTCACTAAATATCATTCTTGACAATCAAAATGGCTTCACGCTTTAAAAAAAACCAAAACTAGCAAGCCTATAATGCCTTATCTTATCCGTACCGTTGTTAGCAGCCATAGAGAACACGCATCGTGACGATGCAAATAGCCAGTGCGATATGGATATACTACTTTTCACTTTGCCGATAATGTGTTCAGGGATTCTATTAATATCAAAGCCACATGAATACAACCCACTTCGTGGGAAAGAAGATGAAGCAGTGTCTTCTTGACAAACTTTGAATTACCTGAATTTAGAAAATACAGAATGCCCGAGAAACCCTCTGTTATTGATGCAGGACTCCATAGTTGTCCATTTTCATTCTGACATATTTTTCTGGATTCGGAATATGTTGCTGGGGAATTGTGAACGGTTAATATATGAGGCATTGTTTCACATGTTTTCACAGCTAAAATAGAAAATTGTCAGTGGGTTATGATAACCTATTTAAACTACATCCAGTTCTAGAAAGCCAACTCCTGCCGGCCTTATTTTCTCTGAAGCTTTTCATTCAATACGTGACAGCAGGATATCAATCTTTTTAAAGCGGTACATCAGGAAATACAAAAGCGTATCATTGTTTAAATAACAAACCAACGTTCATGCTTTCCAGAAAAAACAGATCGTGAAAATTGAAGGGATTGATTTTGACATATTTATACCTAGTTAATATGAAGAAAAAAAGCTAACTGTTCACAATTCACAATTGATATACAAAATATCATATACTGCTGAACACTAGGTGGAAGACTGTCATTACAATTCTTGTTCTGGTAACGTTGGCACGCACAGCTCCCTAGCCTAGAAAGTTATATTGGTACATGATTGGCATATACTTTTCAATATGTGCTAAATCTGCTGATCTGGATAAACTCAAACAGAAACGTACCTTTAATTGCTATGACAGAGATGTTCAAACCAGTGAATGTTACTGAATTGTCGGTATGAAATCTAAGAAAGACGATATTACTAGGAATTTTTCTGTTTAATAGGGTTGCATCATCAGAGTAGTTTCCACAGAATTTGCTGGTGGTATCATTTTGAAGATCAAACGATGTAGAACTCACTGATAGAGAATCATATTCACACCTACAAAAGATTAACACAATGATTTTCGTATACCGGTTTACTTGGGAATATTTACAAGGTTTGAATATGACATACTTGTACATTTATAATAGCTGTTTGTGGTGTCTATTAACCCCGTGGTATAACATATGCAGAGAGAACAA